TTTACCATCTTAGTAAAGGCATTCAATGAATTAAGGTCCTTTTTATGAGGAGTGCCATTTGATAAAGAACGATATTTGGACCCAATAAAAACTGTAGATAATATATCATAGACATGTGTTCACTGCTTGATGCTTGATGCTTTTGAGCAACAGTAAAAGAAGTAGTTTACTTGTAAGAAATGATTTATTGAGCATTATGTTGTCGACGTCACTAATTAGTCTTAATATATTGTTCCAATAGTTGTCATAATATTAAAGGGTTTTCTTTGATTGGGTTATTTTTATGTAATCTATACTGATTTGCATATCATTTAATATCATGAAAAAATTGATATTAATCATCCGCCTTCTATTACCATTGATCGGTGGTAATACATTTGTCATACTTTTCGGTTAATTTAAAAATTAACTTATTAAGATAGTATTTCCTGAGATATGAATAAAGGGGGTTAGTTTCTAAAGAAACTTTGGTGCTGCATCGGTGGGAGAGTATAGCAGGTAATTTAGTGTTAACAACTGAGTTGAAAACGTAAATTGGCAGCTGTAATGGTTTAAAAAAGCTGAATTTTCGAGCGGTAGCCCTTCGTCAGAGGAAGAGGCAAATGTTCAAAACGTAAGCTTTTTTACCCTTTACGGTGGTCAATTTACGCTATCAACTCAGTTGTTAACACTAAATTTTCTGAAATATATTGACCAAACTATTATTTTGCAATTGTTATCATTGAAGCTACAAAACTTTTTGATTGGTTCAAAGTCATCGACTTTCCTACAATTAATGCACACAATCAGTCTTTATTCTCCAAGCACTGCTTCTCCCAACATTTTTCTACCATGACTGATCGTTCCTTGATTTGTTTATAAAAAAGGGACACATTACCTCATCTAATTTATCTTGAATTATTCAACTGCAATGCCTTATATAATGATATTAAATAAATATTATTGTCTTTTATTACACCCATTTTAAAGTCACTGGTGGTCCCAGTAATCTGATTGGCTCTAATTGGTGCGATGTATTCACGAATCGCACCATTTCTAGGCTTTAAATCGCATCTTTTTGGCTAATTGGTCTCAATAAGTTGTTCCAATAGTTGTAATAAGATTAAAGGAATTTATTTGTTTTGGTTATTTTCATGTAATCTATATTTATTTGCATATCATTTAATATCATGATAAAATTGCTATTAATCATCCGCCTTCCATTACCATTGATCAGTGGTAATACATTCTTTCTCTTTTCAAAGTGTGCTATAATCCTATGTTTGTTCTTTGTGGCTATGTCATACATTTTGGTTCAAATATTTCTTTTGTGACTACTCGTTCCTTGATTTGCATATAACAGAATGAACACATTACCTTATCTAGTTTACCTGGAAATATTTTATTGCAATACGTTATATGATGATATTAAATAGATATTATTTCCTAAATATTATTAGGGGATATCCTTGGTTTCCATAAATTGTACTTCATAACACGTAATTCTTTTTCTGTTTTTAATATATTGCCATCATTCCAATATCTGGTATAGTTTGTACAAATATTCTCCTAGTCATTAAAGTAATGAACATCATTATCCAGTTCACTATCAATCTATAAAGCTCCTATCATAACTATCATTACTACCTGAATAATCGTCTTGACTATCATATGCATAATCACTATCTTGACTACTATGATAACTACTATCATCTGAATATATATGCTGAGATTCCATGTGTACCAATACTTTAGATAAAAATCAAAGAATTTCCAAGAATAAGAATAGCATATGGATTCCAGGAAATAAAAAGTATTACATGAAAAAACCAGCGAAAAATTACCGTGCAATAATAACAACACGAAATCAGTGGTATTTGGAGAAAATGCATTAAATGCGCCAAGTACTTTACTACTATCTGAACTAGCTCGACCACTTAATCTAGATTGTGCAGTTTAAGCTAGTTATATAGTTTGTGAAGCTGAGCTGTTTGTATAGTGGAACCATTTCATCTACTTAAACCAATTAAGAAAGATTTTGCAATCTGTGCAGTTTAACTGTCTTCCGTGGTTTGACTATTTCACAAGTCGAATCAATTAAAATAGTTTGACTACTCTAAATGGCCATTTAAAGTACTCCAACCAGTTGAGAAAGATTGTGCAACTTTTTTCAGTTAGCCTTCGACTGTTAAACCAGTTGGACCCTTTCAGCTAGATTGTCCAGATTGTGCAGTTAAAGTGATTGAGCCTGTTATGCATTTTTTTGGTTGAGCCACTTAAGCTAGTTTAATAATTTGAACAACTGCAAGCAACGGAGACAGATTATTGAATTTGTGGTTTGACTATTTCATTAGTTTAGCAAGACTATACAAAACAACTTAACTGCTCATATTGTACAATGTTGAACTAGTTCAAATGATCAAACTAGCTTCAATTGTTGAAGGAAACAAAATGAATAACGAGCTAAATAGGTTAAACTGCACAAACCTCTCACTCTAATTGAACTAGTTCCAGTGGTTAGATAATGAAACTAGCGAAAACAGTAAGAGTGCACAAATTGTACTATCTATCTCAAATTGTTAATTGCTTTAACCGGACAAAATGCATAACAAGCTTGATAGGATCATCTTCACTAACTGGAAAATCAAGCTTATATGGTTAAACTCGTTCAATATTCAGAGTAGCTAAGACAGTTAAACTACACAAATCGCACAAGCTACCTTAATTGGTTAAGCTGGACAAAATGTATAACTGGCTTAAATGGTTGAGCTGGTTAAACTGTCAAACTAGGGAAGATAATTAAACTGCTTGAAGTAGTGCAGTGGTCGAACTACCTTCAATTGTTGAAGTGCAGAAACGGGAAAATGTAGCCCAATATGTTTTAGAAGTTGAAATTATCAAAGTAACTTAATTAGTTCAAACAGTTAACTAGTCTTACTGGCGAAGACAGTTGTATACACAAATTGTCCAATCTTAACTCGTTGCAGTAGTCAGCTGAGACAATTAAACTACACAAATTGCACAAGCTATCTTAATTGCTTAAAGTAATTCGAATTATCATACTGGTTTCAATGGTTAATCTGGACAAAATGTACAACTGGCTTAAATGGTTGAGTTGGTTAAATAGTCAAACTAGGGAAGATCATTAACCTGCTTGAAGTAGTGCAATGGTCGAACTACCTTCAGTTGTTGAAGTGCAGAAACGGGAAAATGTAGTCCAATATGATCTAGAAGTTAAAATTATCAAAGTAGCTTAATTAGTTCAAACAGTTAACTAGTCTTACTGGCAAAGACAGTTACATGTACAAATTGTCCAATCTTAATTCGTTGCAGTAGTTCAGTGCTCGGTCGAGTTAGCTAAAATGGTTCAACTGCACAATTGCACGATCTTCATTGGTTAAAAGAAATAAATGGCCGATCAAGCTTAAATGGGTCAAGAAGACAAAATTCAGAGTTAGCTGAATGGCTAAGATAGTGCCTGTGGTACAGTTGGCCACGCATGCTATAAGTAGCACCTTGTACAGTCGGTCGTTCGGTCTTCGGTTGTACGGTCGTACGGTCGTAAGTCCAAATTTTTTCGGTTTGATAGGTTACTTCTATTTTGTACTAGCGCTGCGAGCTCCGCTATAATAATAATAATACGATAAAGCTTAAAACAGCTTAATTCAATGGCAAACAAGTGCAAAAATATTTTCCGCGCGATAAAACTTAAAACGGCCTAATTTAGTTGCAAACAAACAAGGACATGTGTCTGATGCTATAGCTACAATCACGTGATTACCCGCAACAGGCAGAAAACATTTTCCCGATGAAAAGAAAAAGTCATAAACAGCAACAAATAAGCAAAAACGCTTTTTATGAAATAAAGCTAGAATCAGCGTGATTAGCTGCAAACGGGCAGATAAGCTTTTACCATTGTAAAAAAGCTGAAAACAACGTAATATAGCCTCAAAAAAACAAAACTGTTGTTTACAGTAAGATAAAGCTAAATACTGTGTGATTAGCTAGCCAGATGCAAATACCTCTTTTCAGTGCCTTACGCTGAAGACAGTGTAACTCAGGAGAAAACTAGCAAAAAAAACCACGTTTTCGGTTCTAGAAAGCTAAAAACAACTTGATTTAGCAGTGAAAAAAGAAAAACCGTGGTTGGGTTGAATATTGGGGTGACTGGCTGAAAACAGGCTTTATCACAGTCTTTTCTGGCTGTGGTAAAGCTAAAGCATTTCAATTCAGTGGCAAACAAGGGGAAAAGCGTTTTCGGTGAGATAAATCTGAAAGAGACATAATTTAGCTACATAAAAGCTAAAAACTTAGTCTTCAGTGAGATAAAACTGAAAACAGCTTAATTTTAGCAACAAACAAACGGAAACATCTTTTTGGTGTCATAAACAATGGTAATAGGACCCAGTGGAATCCAATTCGGTCTGTAATCATACGAGTGATTAACAAAATCGAACGACTATGAAGTGGGAGTCCAATTTGTTTATCACGAGTGTGATTACAGACAGAACTAGACGACAAGAAATCCTGTTACCATTTAATCATAACCATTTCAATTTCCGAAAAAACAAATAGACCTAGAACAAATATCTTCAGTGGAGACAATGTCTTTAGTTAAAAATTCCTCCATTTTAGGAATTGCCTAGTTTTCCTTTGGTTATTGTGATCAATTTGGTGATTGGTGGACTTAACTGGGCGGAGCTAATATGATTAGCTGCTTTAACTGTCCGATTACAGGTGTCCGATTATACTGTCTGACTACAACTCTAGAGAATGATTAGTAAAAAATTAAGCTGTGAAGGCACCAATAACAATTGAAGAACTAGTAATGGTTATGATTAAGCTAAAAACAGCGTAGTTTAGCAACAAAAAAGGGAAAACGTTGCTTTTCGTGAGATAAAGCCCAGAACAGCTGCAAACAAACAAGTACATGTTTTCGATACGAAAAAGCTGAGAAAAGCGTAATTTGGCCACATAAGTTATTAAAATTTTGTATTAAGTGAAATAAAGCTAAAATCAGCATGGCTAGCTGCAAACAGGCAAAAAACTTGTTTGATGCGAAACAAGTCAATTCAGGAGATAGGATTGTTAAGTTTGTGTACTTAGCTTTCTTTGCTGGTTTGACTATTTCACCAGATAGTAAAACTATCAAAACGAGCTGAACTGCACAAATTGCACAATCTATCTTAATTGGTTGAACTAGTTCACATGGTCAAACTAGCTTATATTGTTCAAGGGGACAAAAGGCATGACTATACACTTCGTCTACTTGAACAGTTTAAGCTTGATTGACCATTGACCTAGTCAAGCCTGTTGACATGGGTTGTGTAAAACCGGTAAACTTCCAAAAATTGCAAGTTAGCTATCTTTGCTGGTTTGACCATCTCAGATGGTAAAACTATCAAAAAGAGATAACCTTCACAAATTGCACAATCTATCTTTACTGGTTGAACTAGTTCAAATGCTCAAGCTAGCTTATATTGTTCAATGGGAAAAAATGCATAACTATGCACTTTGTCTACTTGAAGAATTTAAGCTTGATTGACCATTTGAACCAGTCTAACCTGTTGTGTAAATTGTACAGCTATACTGTTAAAACAAACCAGCTTAATTGTTTCAACTACTGAAATAGGCAAAGTAGCGAAAACGGTTAAACTGCACAAATTGCACTCTTTATCTCGACTAGTTGAAGTAGTTGAAATGCTCGAATTAGCTTAAAGGTTTCAACTGCAGAATATGAACACTTAGCTTGAGGTTGAATTGCAGAAACGGCACAATCTATCATACATAGATGGACTGGTTAAATAGTCCAACTAGGGAAGACTTTAGAAAAAAAACAACAACGAGTTAGAACTGTAAAAGTTAGAAATGCAAGGAAGGCTGAAGAGAGAAGAAAAGGAAAGGCAAGAGAGGATGGAGGAAAAGGACACAAGAAAGGATGGAAGAAAAGGAAAGACAAGAAAGGATGAAAGAGAAGGAGAGACAGGCTTGATTATCTTAAGTTGGTATTCCCATTTCAGGAAGCAGATGCTGATAAGTGTTTCTTGCACTTTCAGAAAGTAGCTAGCAATCTTAAGTGGCCCACGGATTACTGGGTAGTTCAATTACAGAGTGTACTAGTCGGTAAAGCAAGAAAAATTTAAACAGTTAAATGTAGAGCAAGCTGCAAATTATGACACTGCTAAGGATATTATTTTAAAGGGTTCTGAAGTAGTTGCCGAGGCTCCGAAACGGTGAGAAAGTCAGAAGTCAGACTTATGTAGAATTTTCTAGAAGTAAGGAACAGTTATTTGATCGTTGGTGCCATTCGCAGAGGGTAGATAAGAATCACGATAGGTGAAGACAGCTAATTTTAATAGAGGAATTTAAGAGGTGTATTCACAGTGATGTCCGAACGTTCATCGATGAGCAAAAAGCAGAAACATTAGAGGAAGGTGCACGACTAGCAGATGAGCTTTGGTTGAGGCACAAAGTGAACTTCATGGAAAAACCCCGTCAGTTTCACACTCCACCTGCTAGAGTTCCACCTCCTTCGGTACCACGATGGCTTGGAAACCAGAGAAGTCGGCAGAATGACGGAGGACATCCAAAACAGAATCCTGCTAACAATTATGCGAATCGTTTCAGCTCCTCGTGGTCAAGATAAAACAAGTTTGATCGAGGTAAGCCCATCAAGCTGCCAACATGTTACAATTGCAGAAAAGCTGGTCAGCTGATTTCTGGCTGCCCGGAAAAGTGGAGAGTGGCGCCTAAGTGTAATGGTTCTCTTGCTAAGACATTGTCTTTAACTGCTGTAAGTGAAGATACAACCCCCAAGTTCTAAGAGAGAAGACTCAAGCAAGTCCTGTGAGTGACGTCAGTGGCCCCTGCAAATCTGTCATGGATCTTTTTCAGCCCTTCATCCATGACGGTTCGGTGTCATTGTCAACTGATACGTCCAACTCAATACCAATGAAGATTTTGACGGGCACTAGAGTCTGGCAGTCTCTATTGCTGAGTGACACTTTGGTGTTTTCTGAGAAGTCGTCCACTTGTGCGAGTGTTCTAATTAGGGGAATCAGTTCCGAGTATACCCCGGTGCCACCGTATACAGTATACACCAGTGGTTGTCAATGCTATTATCACCAATAAGCCCAGTTGAGAAAAGTCTCCAGAGCCAGTAGAGAAGACAATTCTCCGTCTGTGCCCCTCATGTGTCGTTACGTGAGCCATAGGTAAGAAGTTATAAATCAGAGACAAAGAATGAACATTAACTGACACCGTCACCAGCCAAGTCCTTGAGGGTGAGCAACCAAACTCCTCTTTCTCTCAGCTAGTATAGGCACCTTCTGAGGAAAGTTTAATGGAACAGATTGAAAAGATGTCAACCTCTCAGCTCATTGCAGAACAACAAGAAGACCCGGAAGTTTCACCTATATTTTTAAGAAGTGTTAGTGAAAGCAAAGTATCTCAGAACCCCACCTGTTACTTTACGAAGAATGGAGTGCTACTGAGAACGTGGAGACCACCTGATGTTACCGCAGAAGAGAAGTGGACTATCTAGATGGTTGTCCCAGAGACCAAGAAAGGACGTTTTAAGCATACCGGATGAGACCTCCTTGCCTGGCCACCTGGGTGTCAACAAAACCTGCCAGAAGATCTCAGACCATTTCTAATGGCTTAGTCTAAGAAAAGTTGTGGCGTAATACTGCAAGTCGTTTCACACCTGTTAGATGGTTGAGAAACCGAATCAGATCATTCCAAAAGTACTGTTACAGTCACTGCCAGTCGTTCAAGAGGCATTCAGCAGAATCATTGTTGATTATTAAAGCATACCGGATGAGACCTCCTTGCCTGGCCACCTGGGTGTCAACAAAACCTGCCAGAAGATCTCAGACCATTTCTAATGGCTTAGTCTAAGAAAAGTTGTGGCGTAACAGATGCTACTTTTCGACATAGAAAAAGTATGTCGGACAAAAATATTTACCAAAAAAAAAATTCTTTACCAGCTTCAATAATGATAGGGGGTTAAGTTAAGATGATAAAACAAAGGATTATCTCGACAGAAATACCGGAGGTCCAGCGAATTCGTTACATGAGGTCACACAACTCGGGTAATATTCAGGCTGAAAATTTACATATTTGAGCGGTCGAACGAAAAAACTCATTTCTCAAAAACTAATATATATTTTCACAAAAAAAAACACCACAATTATTAGGACATATTGGGCTACAAAATGTGAAAGTAGGAGAGAAAACGAATTTTGGGCGACTTGCCACAATATTTCAAATTTGGTCGATGGATGCTGACATCCTCTCTTAATTACATTAAAGTCATCACAGGTGGGCGCAAGCAGACACGGTTATGTCATGTAAATGTTAAAGCCTTATGTAGAGAGAAGTAGTAATTGCGTTCGACGAAGGAAGAACGCTTCCTAATCTTGTGGGTTGCCTGTTATCGCGTAGGTTCCCTGTGCACGCAAGCGAAAGCTGACCCGTGTTTTTTCGTTCCATGGTTAACTTTTTCGGCGCCATTTTGAATGACGTCACGATTTCGTTGCACCCTAAAATAGGGTGTCTGCTTCAACAAAAATAAACCATGCCTTCTCAATGCAAAACTTCAGAAATTACTTTTCCAACCTACCAATACTCGAACGCACTTTTTTAATCTATGATTACTACTACTAGTTTAGTTAAAGAGCATGCAAATGTTTATGTAGTTGTTTCTGAGCCCAAAGAAATGAGTGGTGAAGTTTGCATATAGTCATCTTTGTCCCTCAGACACAACAAAACTCACAAACTCTGCTGCAGAACTTGGAGTCTAGGCTGTCAAACCTGGAAGAGAGTCAACGGCAGGCTCTGAAGTGGCTACTGCTAAAATATGATGTTTCCTGTTGTACCTTCGATGTACTTTCCAGGACAGATGAGATTTACCACAATGTGGGTGTTGGTGATGCTGCTCCTGTAAAACAACACTCGTACAGGCCAAAAGCAATTAAACAACAATATCACAAAGAAGAGATAAAGTATTTACTAGCGGACGACTTTATTGAACCGAGCTGCAGTGGTTGGAGTTCTGTACGTATACTTGTTCCCAAGCCAGGCGGAGGCTATTGAATGTGCGCAGATTACAGAAAAGTGAGCAATGTGACTGTATCGACAAACTTGGAAAAGCCAGTTACGCAAAAAAATTCGACCTTCTAAAAGGGTTCTGGCAAGTACCATTGACAGAACGCACCAAAGAGATTTCAGTCTTTGTAACAGCAGAAGGATTGTACCAATACAAAGTCATGCCCTTTGGTATGAAAAATTCACTTTCTACTTTCCAGCCCTTTATCAACAAAGACATCACAGATCTTGAGGATTCTGAAACTTATATCGATGATGTGATTATCTTCAGTGACACTTGGGGAAAAAAACCCTAAGAACTACCTGTGAGTTCTTCAAGAGATTGAGTGAAGCTAAGCTGACCATAAATCTCTCTAAAAGTGAGTTTGGCCGAGCGCAAGTCACTTCTTTGGAGCACATCGTTGAACAAAGTCAAGTGAAACCAGTTAGTGTTAAGGTTGAAGCCAGAACTACCTTTCCACGAGCAGAGAGCAAGAAAGAAGTCATGCGTCTTGTTGGCATGGCTGGCCACTGCAGAAGGCTTTGCTCTAATTTCACCACTGTTACAGAACCATTGACGCAATTATTTAGTAAGAAGGAAAGAAATTTGTTTGAAAGGTGTTTGAGGAATTGAAAGCCTTGTTACAGAATGTCCCTGTACTGAAAGCGCCTGATCTTGGCTGCATGCTTAACGTGGCTGCTGATGCAATTAATGTTGCTGCTGGTGCTGTGTTGTTACGAGAGGATGACGAAGGTGTGCAACATCCAGTTTGTTATTTTTTCAAGTTCAAAAAAAGTCAAAAGAACTACTCCACCATTGAAAAAGAATGTTAGGTACGTTGTTGTTTATAGTGATCATTATCCCCTTGTCTTTATTCACAAGTTGAAGGCCAAAACTCAACGATTGCTGATATGGAGTTTAATCTAACAAGAGTATGTTCTAGACATCAGACGCATAACAGGAAAGGACAATATTATTGCAGAATGCCTCTCAAGATTATAAATGTTTGCAAGAAAGTTTGCCAACTTTCTTTTCTAATTGGTTGAAATGGTTAAATAGTCAAACCAGCAAAGACAGTGAAACTGCACAAACTGCGCAACTCATCTTTATTACCTCAAGTAGTTCAAATGGTCAAACCAGCCTCAATTGTTAAACTGCACAATTTAGCTGAATTGGGTCAAGTGGTTAAAATTGCCAATTAACAATTGGTTCACGGGAAGTTTGGAGAACACAAAAGATGCGTAAGAGTTGCTCGAGGTGCAACCGAGAGCAACTCTAGCTTCTTGAGTGCTTCCCAAACTTCCCAAGTGCTTCATATCTCGATGAACGCACAGCTGACGTATGAACCAATTGTTTTGGAACACTGTCAAATTTTTTTTCTCGAGGTATTTGTTTACTGATGTCATGAGCTCACGCAAATGAATTTGATTAAATAAATTTACCAGCTATGTTGTAAACTAGCTTGATCTTTTCAACTGGCCAGAGGAGTCAGCCTCAATTAAAAATCCGGGTACGTATTGTCTGAACCCTGGTGTGTTGGTAGACGTGTGAAGACCTAACAAGAGTCCTGCAACCAAGCTCCAACAACAGAACGACTGGATGAGAACGCAATTCTCAACGGCTGTGTGTTTCTGTCACGATTCTGTGAACTCAAAAGGGTTGTTTATGGTGCGAACTCGACTGCCGCCACGTGTGTGTTCGTTGTCTGCAAGTCTTCTAAATATATATATGTTTATCGGCCCAGTGGCGTGACCGTGTAACGCAATATCACGACATCTTCCCCTTTTTACAAAGTTTATCTTCAAAAGTTAATTAATACTTAATGTTCGGTTTCGATCACTGTTCAAATCACATAAAATCGATAAAACATTGTTCTTCATT